CGGGCGGCGGCCCGGAAACCGGGCCTAAAACGGGCCGCCGTGGCGTGGGTGCCTGCTGCAGGACCGTTCACAAAGCGCCACACAATCGTAAAAACAAAACGCCTCGACACCATGAAATGCGGTACGCAGTAATAGATCGGTCCGTTGGAGCTGTCGCTCCGCTTGAGGCGGCGGCTCGACGGAGCCCATAACAGACAGCCCGAGCATTGTCCAGCATAAAAATGTCCCAAACTCATTTAGGGAAGCCTGTAGGCGTAACACGCGGACAAGCTGCCGAGTGCTGGCCCACGTCAGCATGGCCAAGGCTGCCGCTCCGCCCCAACGGGCGGCGGCCCGGAAACCGGGCCTAAAACGGGCAGCCGTGGCGTCGCGTCGGCGGTGCTGCAGTGCCGCTCATAACGCGCAACATAAAAACAAAACGCCTTGACACACAGAAATGCGGTACACAGTAATAAAATACATGATCGGTCTGCGTTGGGCTGTCGCTCCGCCTTGAGGCGGCGGCTCGAATGAGCCTATAACAGACAGCCCGAGCATTGTCTAGCATTCAAAGCATGCTGCTGCAGTGCCGCTTATAAGCGCGCAACATAAAACAAAACACCCTGACGCCCAAAAAAGTGCGGTACACAGTAATAAAGACAGATGACCGGTCTGTTTGAACTGCCGCTCCATGTGAGGCGGCGGCGGCCAGCGATCGTGGCGACGCCGGGTTGGCGACTGGAGCAGCGCAGGGCAGTTTCAGGGCCGCCACGACGCGGCGGCGGACGCGGCAGGCGGCATGTTGTCGAAGCGTGCGGCAGCCATGCAGGATCCGGTCTTGCCCAGCATGGATGGTCGGGCGGCCGGGTCGATGGGGCTGGTCCCGGCGCGGCCGGCGGACCCGCCGTGGCGACGGCTGTGCGGCGGCTTGGTGCACCGGTGGCGGTAGTTGAAGCAGCCGCCGCTGGGTGTCGGGGAGCGACGTGACGCCGCCCAGTCGCCAGCAACTCCGACATGAGGGGGGAGGGCAGGGCGCGCTCCGCCGGTGGACCGAACCGCGTGAAGCATCGCCGACGCGCATGGAAAAAAAAAAGAGAACGCTGTGTTAGACCGTTGCCCGCTTGCATGCACGCCAGGTTAGAACTGCTGACCGAAAGACACCTCCCGTGGTGCATATGTACGTCAGGCGATTGCTGGCCGGCTGATCGCTTGGGCACTATGCATGCAAGTGATGCTAAACACTGCTTACCGACCAGACACCCACGGGCCGGACCAAAACTAGGCCGCGGCAGACATGGCCGAAAAGCATGAGGAAAAAAAAAACATTGTGTTAGCGGGAGACGCGTTCTCGGAGTGTGCGAGCCCGCCGCCGAATCATAAAGTGCAATAAATCGGCCGCAGGCGGGAATGGAGACGAACTTGCGGCTCGCCTTGCTCCCGAAAGTCAAGTCAAACACGGACCGATTGCGTCCTCATCTGTGGGTGTGCCCTCAGGTTTACTATTGACCGGCCCGCGATCGCATGCACGTCCGGTCAAACCACGGACCGACTGGCACCCCTCGGGGTGCTTACGTCAGGTCGCTGCTATTCGAAGAAAACGTATCCGGCGCTGTGCGTGCACGTCATTATAAAATGGCAGACCGTCCAGATATCCCTCGGGGTTGGCATGCAGGCCAAGTACTGACCGGCAAACGCAGCCGGCGATAGGCATGCGCGGCATTTCGATGACCGCCCGAACCACTCTCGGGGAACGAACGCCACCACCAAAACGCTACCCGCTATTCGCACGAACGTCTATGTCAAACCGATGACTCACCGGATAACCCTCATGCTGACCGACCCCCGCGACCGCATGCAAGTCGAGAACAAAACCGCTGACTGGCCATGCTTTCTTCAGAGTCGCCCGCCAGGCCCTCGGGCTCGCCACTGTCTAGCTGTTCGCCGCCGGCGGTATGCATGCACGTCAGGTCAGACCGTTGACCAACTGGCACCCTCAGGTGCGGATTAGGCCCTCAGGCCACTGGCACCCTCAGGTGCGTATCAGGCCCTCAGGCCCGCCATGACCGGTCGTTTGCCGCCGGCGGTAGCATGCACGTCGGGTCAAACCGTTGACCGACCGGCACCCTCAGGTGCGTATCAGGCCCTCAGGCCACTGGCACCCTCAGGTGCGTATCAGGCCCTCAGGCCACTGGCACCCTCAGGTGCGCACCGGGCCCTCAGGCCCGCCACTGACCGATATTCGCCGCGGCGATATCCATGCACGTCGGGTCCACTTGCTGCCCGACCATGCGCCCCACAGGGCTGCATGCATGCTATCCGCTGGCCGACAGCCGGCAGCCGGCGATATGTATGGGCTTCAGGTCGACCACCGACCGACCAAAACCTCTCAGGGGGGGGGGGGGGCGTGCTGCCGGTCAACTGCTGACCGGCAAAATGCGCAAAACTACTGTCAGCGGCTGTGCCGTTAGAGAGCGGAGTCAGGCGTGCAGGGCCGGGGTCACCAACCGGCCGCACTGACGCGCCGCCGGAGACGGGGAAGCAGTACAACGAGACGGCCGCACCGGGCCGTAAGAATAGGCACTAGATATATTCCCGACACGGGAAGGACTCGCCTGTAATTGAAAAGCGGCGCACCGCACTGTTGGAGCGCACCAGACGCAAAGGAATTCCGAAAGCACACAGAACACATATTGTCACGTGGCACTGCGGGCGCTCACTGAGGCCTGAGGGCCGGTGGTGCTCACGCCGTGCGGTAGGTGTCGCTACAGGCTACAGTTTGCGCCCGCGTGCAGAGAAAGGCTTTGCTGCGCGCCACTGTTAGTCGCGCGCATCAAATACATTTATGGAAAGAACACCTTCCTAATTTTTTGCACACTTCTTAACAATGAGCTAAATATTTTTTTTAAAGAAATAAAAATTCAAAAAAATTTGGTCCCAAAGTCCAAAAAATACAAATGAAAGAAAATTCGATATGTCATATATTAAAAATAGCGTATTTTTCGAAATTTCACAAATACATATTAATCTCTGTTTCATTGCAAGTTCAATGTTATCTAACATTTGGCATTTGAATAATCCGTCTTAGAGTTACAGCCCGCCAAACTTAGCGCTGCAAAGCAAGATCCAAAAAATGTTATACTCCATAACTCAAAAAATACTTATCTGATAAGCCTGAAATTGTTACAGGTAGATTCAGAGCCCCTGATTACCCCTGAGACCAATTCTCGTCAAATTCCGAGAGATGAGGGTGTCAAATTGGAAAAAGTGGTACGATCTATCGTGGAATGCCCCAGTGCCTACCACCTTCTATCTACATACCAAATTTGAGATCGAAACCACTTTTTTTTTGGCCAATAGACCTCGTAGCGCAAAACAAAGACCACCATTAGACTCCCCGTGACGAGCTGCATCGACTCAATACCTATTTTATGCAAAACTATCAGCTTTGAAATTTGACCTTTTTTACCTGACCTTGACCTGAACTCCACCAGAAAGTGACTTACACCGAGTCCCCTCCACTTGGACTAGTGTCAGTTGGTCTAGTATCGTTTGGGCTAGTTCATTTGGTCTAGTGCTTTATTTGGTCTAGTGCCACTTGAGCTAGCTTCATTTGAGCTAGTGTCATATTTGGTCTAGTTCATTTGTGCTAGTTCCCGAACATTCAAAGGTGCCACTTTGAATGTTCCGTCCATCATCCAAATGTTATTTTTGCTTAATTCGTCTAGCATGACTTCGGAAGAAAAGACTATCAGTCTGTCGTTTCCATCATCTTCATTGTCATACAGCAGGAAACGATGCTCTTCTCCCCGTTTTGTCGTTTTGTACTTCTCTGGAATTATAATGCCTGACCTGTTGAGTGGCGCTACTTCATGTCCGATTTCTGAATGTTTTCGTTTTCTTTGGATACGTTGCGAAATTGCCTTTCTAGTTGGAGCTTCTGTTGTGGCTTCTCTACTCAAATTCATATCACTTATAATTCTTCTTGGACGCAAATTTGACGTTTCTGCCTGTTCCATGGCTTTGTCCAATGCCGAAACAACTTCAACTCTTGCCGGAACTGGGGGGTGGTTGTGAATTTGCCTAGTAACAACTTGTCTTTCGGTATGATATCGTAATGATGTTGAAACAGATCCTTTACATCCTTTGTTTTCGCATTGCCAATTTTGAGTGGTAATATTTGAAGTATTCTTTCGGTAGACAAAACCTTCGAAGCTTAATTTGTCCCCACCCCTTGATGACTTAAAAATTTCCATAGCTACAGCCGATAACCCGTAATTTGCATCTATCACACAACAAATTTACCTCGCTTCAGTCGAAACAGAAAAGGAATCTATATATAAGGAACTATAAGGATATAATAATAAGGAACTATATATGGCCTTGAAAGGAATGAAAGCTGCCTCGTGAAGTTCTGTAAAAAAATAAAATAACCGCAAAATCTTTTCCTCGTGAGTCTAATTATTGTGCCAAGCATGATAATACACCTCCATCATGGAAATGAGTCTGCTGAAAGCTAGACGAAATTACGGCACTAGACCAAAGGCACTAGCTCAAATGAATGGCACTTTGGCACTAGCTCAAACGAAACTAGCCAAACTGGCGCTAGACCAGCTGAAGCACTAGACCAATTGCACTAGCTCAAAAAGCACTAGACCAAATGATGCTAGACGAAGAGAGTGGCACCCACTTACACCGTACCTGATGGTCTTTTAACCATCACCATTGAGTTGGAAATGAAAAATTGGCCATAAAACATGCATCGCACAACCTTGGTAAAGCTGGGTTCATGTGCTGACCCTTTGGTGACCTGACCTGTGACCTGACCTGGTAGTTCAATGACCTCTAATAGCAACATATGTACTAGGCAGCTGACGCCCTGCTATCGAACGCCGTTTGAATTTTAAAAATTCGTCCAGTGGTTTCGGAGATACGGGAGGGGGCAAAAAATGTCCCCCCCCCCCACCGCGCGGAAGGTGGCCGGGAGGCCTGCCGGGATATAGGACATGTTTGTATTTCCACAGGTACTTCGGCGACTGGAGATACCGCACATCGTCTGTTTGAATGATGCAACCGCCGAGTTCACTGCGCTGGCCCGAAAACTGGACTGTCCAATCATGGGAATTCAGAACAAGTACCTGACCCAGAACATAATCGCCGTCAAGATACCACGGAAAAGGGCCGTGCTGCAGCTTCGTCGCCCGCCGCCGGGACAGAAGGGATTCTACATGCCCTGTGAGGTGTTCCATCCGGAAAGGTGATGCAACTGCTGAAAAAGGCGGCTGATATTACTCAAATGATGATCGTAAATAGCCCTAAGCGTAGCTTACTTCAAGTAACTCATGTTGTCGCGACCGGGGGGTACTGTGCGTTTGTTGCCTAGCAACGAAATTGTTGTCATATTTTTGTGCTTAGAAAATTAAGGAAAAGGGGCCTTTTGGATGAGAAACTGATTGAAACGGGGTCATTATTATAGCTCATTCTGAAACAGTGAAAGTAAATATGCAAAGCCAAGGACGATGCATTCACTGATTAACAAGTGTCAAAGTGACATTCAAGAAGGGTTTATCTTTATGTTTCAACTTATTTCTTAGTTTATTTTCTCTCGTTAGCCGCAATGTGCGACTTTTGGAACGGTGTTTTTCATTTCGATCAAGGAGCGAAGTGGATCAAGCCTGTACCAAAATAAACATTGATTTCGAAAGTGCATTTGCGGCATTAAGTTTCATATTTTTTAACGGCTAACGGTGACAGTTCCAAAATGTTTGCAAAACTCTAAGATGAACTGCACAGCATAAGTTTAAGAGAAGCTGCTCAGATATAAAGTAGCATGATGCAAACCAATGTAGCGTCTGAATTCAAGTTATCAACTTTGATTAAGATACACTGATTTATTTGCACCAATCATGTCAGCATCTGATTTCAAAAGGAAGCGTGGGAGGATGCTGTCAAATCTCACCAGAGTAAGAAGACGAGCCCTAGTAATGATTGAAAATAGAGGCTCTAGGACGCAGCTGGTCGACATGCTTAAGGAGCTGGACGCTGCACTTGAGTCTTTAGAAGAAGTGAACGAAGAGCTCAAAGAAGCAATAGCAGAAGATGAAGCACTTGTTCAAGAAGCGGTCGATTACATGAAGGTTGCAGAGCAGCAACACGACGAAGCATATCAATGCATACGAGAATATTTGAAATCCAGACAAGGTGAAACACCATCTATAGTGTCGGGCTCAATTCAGTCTCACCAGTCCAGCAGCTCGTTAGCTGCTCGAAGCGCTGACATTGCTTTTCAAGTGAAAGAAAAGGAACGTAAGCTTCTGGAGCGGCGACACCTGAGAGAAAGGGAAGAACAAGAGTTGCGAAGAAAAAATGAGCTTCAAGCCGCTAAAGATGCCGAAGAGTTAGCCAGGCTAGAAGCGCGCCTTACCGCAGCTGCTGAGAGTGAGCTCAGCTGGGACCGCAGAAAGGATTTTGATGGTGAGGCATCCGCAGTTGAAGAGCAAGGAGCTCAAACCGAAGGCGATTCCCCAGCTGAAAAGGAGTCTGAAGATGACAGCCCTGAAGTGCATGTGCCTATTCTGCCGTCCAGCGCCCGTCCTGTGCCAACTCAATCTGAATCTCTGTTCGCAAGAAGTCTCCCAAGAATCACGCTGCCAAACTTCAGTGGTAGTCCGGGAGAGTGGCCAAGATGGTTCGCGCTCTTCCGAACATTGGTGCACGATCAAGCAACCTTAAACTCCACTGAAAAAATGGCGCATCTACAAAACGCAGTAACGGGTCCGGCGCAGCAGCTGATCAGTGGGATGCTCTACGAAGGGACTCTCTATGAAGAAGCGCTGCACGCGCTAGAAAACCGCTTTGGCAGACAAGAGGACATTGTGCAGGCGAAAATGAAGGCTATCTTTGCATGCCCGTCGCCAGCAGATCTAGATCTGCAAGGATTGGAACGGTTTCACTCAGCTGTTCACTCTGCCGTAACAGTTCTTCAGAACCTGAAGTACGAAGGAGACCTTCAAAGCACAGAAAACCTGCGTAGAATAGTGGAGAAGTTGCCGCAAGAAATGAAGCGCGTTTGGAGCGCACACGTCGTTGAAATGGAGCCGGCCCGAGCTACATTGATCAACTTCGACCAGTGGCTCACAAAACAAGTGAGGATCTCTCAGAAGCTCACTGCCGTGACAATTCAAGACACTGATCAAGTCAAAAAACGCGCCTGGCAGTCCAGACCAGCAACTGGAGCACAACATCAAAAGACAAAAGAAAAGACACTGGCGACACTGGCTACAAACACTACAGCCTCACTCGATTCTGACACTTGTGTGTGTTGCAGCGGGAAGCATCATTTGAAGGACTGCGAAGCATTCAGAGCGCGAGACGCCAATGGCCGAGCTGAGCTAGTGTTCAGCTCAGGAATGTGCTTCATCTGCTTAAAGAAAGGCCACATGAGCAGAAATTGTGTCTTTTCTAAGAAGTGTGGAATAGACGGGTGCAGGATGAAACACCACAAGATGCTGCACGGCAGTCACCGTGTAAGGCCTCACGGTGGTGACCAGAGAGTCATAGCCGCAGTAACGGGAAACCGACCAGCAGAGGGAATGACGCTTCTCCAGATAGTTCCCGTTCGAGTGCACGGCCAAGATGGAAGATTTAGAGACACGCTGGCCCTGCTAGATCCAGGATCTCAGACCAGCTTATGCTCGGAAGCAATCATCAGAGATGTGAAGATTTCAGGCGAAGCGCAGTCGCTATGCATCGAAAATGTTGAAGGACGAGGAAGTACCAAGAGGTCTGAAAGGGTCCAGCTGACTCTGAGTCCTTTGTGCGAAGGTCAAGATGTTGACCGCAAGATCCTTGTTCCTGAAGCGTTCTCTGTGCCGCGAGTAAACGTCCGAGCACAGCACATTCCTAAACGATTGAAAGATGACTGGAAGCATCTACAAGGCATAAACATACCTGACTGCTCACAGGGAACAGTGGAGGTGCTTCTAGGCGCTAATGTCCTTGAAGCCGTTCTTCAACGCGAAGCCAAAGTTGGACGAGCAGGAGAACCGGTGGCGGTGCGCACGGCATTTGGCTGGACGTTGACCGGCACGATCGCTGGTTTCGTCCCACCTCAAACCAGAGAGGTGATGTTCATCCACCGTGCGGACACAGAAGACAGGCATCTCGGAGAGTGTGTCGAAGAGTGGTGGAAGACTGATTCATTTGGCACGAAAGTTGAGCTCAAAGGGGAAGCTTCAGCAGAAGACCTGCGGGCATTGCGTCTCCTAGATACATCAGTGAAGAAATGCGGAGACCGATACGAAGCAGGACTTCTTTGGAAAGGCAAAGATCAGAGAATGCCTGACAACAGAGCATCAGCCATGAGAAGTCTTCAGAGCCTTGAGAAAGGCTTGTTACGTAACCCGGAAAAGGCTAAGGCGTATGAAGCCGAGCTCCAAGCTTATGTTGAAGCGGGGCACGCACGCAAGCTGTCTCAAGAAGAAGCCGATCAGCGTTTGAAAAGGCGCTGGCTTCTACCACATCACGCGGTAGTAAACCCCAATAAACCCAAGCTGAGGGTAGTCTTTGATGCTGCAGCGACACACCTGGGAGTGTCCCTGAACAGTGAGCTGATGAAGGGGCCGGACATGCTGCAGAATCTGGTTGGAATTTTGCTCCGCTTCAGAGAGGAACAGACTGCCATGGTAGCAGACATCAAGAAGATGTTCCACCAGATCAGGATTCGCCAGGAAGACCAGCCAGCATTAAGTTTCTGGTGGCGAAACCTTGACACCACACGACAGCCTGATATGTACCAAATGCAAGTAGCAATATTTGGCGCGAAGTGCAGCCCAGCGATCGCAAATTTTGTACTACAGAGAGCGGCAGAAGACGGCTGCACTGGCACAGAAGAGTCCACAGCAGCCAAGAAAGCGGTTCAGACCAGCTTTTACATGGATGACTTCGTCAAGTCAGAATGTTCCAGTGAAGCTGCACTCAATATGAAAAGAGAAGTCTCCAGCATCCTCGCCAAAGGAGGGTTTTGCCTCACGAAGTGGATGAGCAATGAGGAGAGGGTGCTGGCTGAAGTCCCGGTTGATGAAAGAGCTGTCTTGAAGATAGACTCGTCGGGCAAGTCGTACTGCAGCGTTTTAGGATGCAAATGGACCCCGCAGGACGACTACCTGGCCGTCAAGTGTAGCGTAGTCGCGGTGCCGCCGACGAAGAGAGGAATCCTGAAGCAAGTCGCGTCTATGTTTGATCCTTTAGGGATCGTGGCGCCCTACACACTAGTGGCGAAGAAACTGATCCAGAGTCTCTGGGAAAGAAAGCTAGGCTGGGATGAAGGAATCACAGGAGAAACCCTACATATCTGGAGACGCTGGCAAGAAGAGCTTCAGCAGGTTGAGGACGCATGTGTTCCACGGTGGTATGGCGCGCCGGAACAAGAAGTTGACGCTCAGTACGAGCTGCACATGTTCAGCGACGCCTCCGAATTAGCGTTCGGTACCGTAGCATACATCAGAGTATTGTCCAGCGGCTACTATCACAGTCGCTTTGTGATGGCTCGCACTAGGCTCGCACCTCTGCGACAGCTGTCGATAGTCCGACTTGAGCTGCAAGGTGCCGTCATGTCAACAAGAGTAGCCAGTCTTATCAAAAGGGAAATGAACTACAACTTCAAGCGAATCGTCTTCTGGACAGACAGTCAAGTGGTGCTGCAGTTTTTGAAGAACGAAAGTCGGCGATACCACACATTTGTGGCGAATCGTGTATCTGAGATTCACGACACGACAAGCCCAGATCAGTGGCGCTTCGTGCCAGGCTCAGAAAATCCGGCAGATCTCTGCTCAAGAGGAAAGTCTCTGGTCAGAGTTGAAAAACCAGCAAGAGTGGTGGCTAGGCCCAGCGTTTCTAGAAAGCAAAGAAGAGCACTGGCCACCACAAGAAGACGTAGGAGACATCAGTCCAGACTGTGTAGAAGTCAAGAGGTCAGCAGCCATCTGTGCGACAAGTCATGCTAGTTCACCAAAAGAAGAGATCACTTCTCTACTGTCCCAGCTCATAGACCCGGCGCGGTTCTCTTCATGGACTCGTTACAGACGCATTGTCGCATGGATAAGGCGATTCATCAGCAACGTGAAGAGCAAGGTTGCTGGCACAGAAGTCATTGATGGTCCACTACGCAGCGCAGAAATTGATGCGGCTGAAATCAGCATAATAAAGGACGATCAAGAAACCTGCATGAAACAAGCTAGTCTCGACCACCTGTCTCCATTCCGAGATCAACACGGCCTCATGAGAGTTGGTGGGCGCCTGAGCAAGACTTCGTTAGACGAGTACACGAAACACCCCGTCATTCTTGACGCCAAGAGTGAGATCACCAGACTGGTCATTGTCGATGCACATCAGCGAGTCATGCATTGGGGATTGGAAAGAACACTTTGTGAGCTGAGATCGAAGTACTGGGTGCAACGGATGCGGTCAGCTGTGAAGAAGCACCTGTGGAAGTGTGCATTCTGCCGTAACCGCCGCGCCTCGCCTCAGCCACCCAGGATGGCAGACTTGCCAGAGGCCCGTCTAGACATGAGACGTCCGTTCAGCACAGTCGGACTCGACTTTTTCGGACCTCTGACGGTGAAGAAGTTTCGAAAGACAGAAAAGAGATATGTGCTGCTGATCACATGTCTCGCCACTCGGGCCATCCATTTGGAGCTAGCTGCTTTGATGGACACCAGTAGCTTCATCATGGCACTGCGCCGCTTTATCGCACGAAGAGGTAGACCTCGAACTATCTACTCGGACAATGGCACTAATCTAGTCGGAGGCGAAAGAGAACTGCGAGAAGCCATCGAACATTGGAATCAGGCACAGATATCCGATGCTTTGAGTCAGAGAAACATCCAGTGGGTGTTCATCCCGCCAGCCGCCCCGCATATGGGCGGTGCATGGGAGCGTCTGATCGCCTCGGTGAAGCGCTCCCTCAAAGTGGTTCTAGGAAACAAATGCGTCTCGGAGGACGTTCTTCAGACGACCCTAGCGGAGGTCGAATTCATGATCAACGGCCGTCCTCTGACCTACATTAGCAGTGATCCTCAAGACCCCGAACCTCTTACGCCCAACCACTTCTTGTTGGGCTCATCTGATGGAAGAGAAGGACTACCGCCAGGGGTATTCAATGATGCTGATGCTGATGTTGTTGGACGGAGGAGATGGCAACAAGTACAGATCCTCGCTGAACATCTGTGGAAAAGGTGGCTCAAGGAGTACCTTCCTACGCTGATAAACAGACAGAAATGGAAGACAGAGAAGAAGAATCTGCAGATAGACGACGTAGTTTTGGTCGTCAACAGTCAGAGTCCTAGAGGATACTGGGAATTGGGACGCATCACAAGAGTCTACCCAGGCTCTGACGGAGGAGTCAGATCAGCGGAAGTGAAGACAAAGAGTGGGACGTATGTTCGCCCGACAACGAAGTTGTGTCTCTTGGAGAGTCTCAACTAAGCCTCTAAATCGGAATCATCGGAGAATCCGTGCGACGGGGTGCACGGCCAACTGGCCCAATATGTGATGCTCATGTGAGACGAACCGTGAAAGTAATGTTGATCTTGATGGAGGGGGTACGTTCTGTGTTCGAAGACATTGATAATGATCCGCGTGGCTAGCACCCACATTTGTGACCTGCGTAAGGTCAACGCGAGCCGTGACAGAATCGGCATGGGCCGTTAGTGCTCAGAGCTGACACGGTGTGGTCGTTAAGTGCAGAGTGAAAGACACCGAGGGGTGTCAGGAACGTGTGGCCTGTATCGCGAGTGACATGTTTCGTGTTCCCCCTTGTGAACACTGGTGGGGGAGGATGTCGCGACCGGGGGGTACTGTGCGTTTGTTGCCTAGCAACGAAATTGTTGTCATATTTTTGTGCTTAGAAAATTAAGGAAAAGGGGCCTTTTGGATGAGAAACTGATTGAAACGGGGTCATTATTATAGCTCATTCTGAAACAGTGAAAGTAAATATGCAAAGCCAAGGACGATGCATTCACTGATTAACAAGTGTCAAAGTGACATTCAAGAAGGGTTTATCTTTATGTTTCAACTTATTTCTTAGTTTATTTTCTCTCGTTAGCCGCAATGTGCGACTTTTGGAACGGTGTTTTTCATTTCGATCAAGGAGCGAAGTGGATCAAGCCTGTACCAAAATAAACATTGATTTCGAAAGTGCATTTGCGGCATTAAGTTTCATATTTTTTAACGGCTAACGGTGACACATGTTATGGCAGGAGTTTCACAATCGAGGCAGCGAATGGCAATGACTGACCTGACCTCCGATTGCCCTTACAAGAAGTGCGAAGTCTACTTGCAGAGGTGTGTCGAGACGAGATCCTTTTCAATTATTTGACGTTTTGTCATACTGAAAAAGACATGACACTGGTTAAGACTCGCCTGGTCAACTCACCTTGTTGGGTTTCCATTTTTGTTCAGAGCCAAAAACATGGTTAGGAAATTGAATTCCAATTTGGAAACCTGAACATTTACGAAGTAGTTATGGTGCCTTCGTAACATTGGCGTATTCAATGAGCACGAACATATGATATTGTCGACAGCGATACGGCCTTGCGACAGCGCAACATATTTATCATTGGTAGCTCTGCAACGCGCGTATGTCTAGAAAAGTGTACAACCGTCAGTCAGTGAATTCTTAGCCCAGCGCCTTCTCCAGTAACTTCTTGAAGCTAGCTAAGTTAGTTGTGGTCACAACATGCTGTGGCAAAGCATTCCACGCAGCTATGCATCTCACATTGAAGAAGTGTCTCCTTACATCGGTGTGAGACGTCGGAATGAAAATATTATTGCAATGACCTCGCGTGCTGCTGTGTTATAGGACGTTCAAACAGGTCAGAGACATCTAGGTGACTCCTGCCATTAAACAACTTTCAGCACTGAATAAGATCTGCCCTCAGCAGTCTGCCCTTGACTGAGAAAAGCTGCAAGCTACGTAGTCTACCGGCATAGTCAAGTGTCTCAACTGAGACGATTTGATTGACCGATCCCCGAGACGACTTGAAGGCATGATACATGATACTGGTTCTCTTAGGTTGCAACCCTTTAGCGATAGAAACGCTCGGCCAAATCAATTACGCATATGTCTAAAAATATCATTCAACCTTGATGCATTTGATTCGACAGGTTCCTGAGGAAGTTCGGCATCTCTGTCGAGATGCTGCCTCTCGTGTCGACGATCCCGGGCACCGGTCCACATCCGCCAGCCCTGTTCGACGCGTTCTTCGAGAAGCTTGAGGAGCAGTACCACTCTGTGGAGCAGAAGCAATTCCGACGACTGGACCTGCTGATGCGGTGGCTCTCCGACAAGGATTCCATTGAAACTGCCCTGAAAGAGGTTTGTCCTTCTGGTATTGCTTTATTCCTTGCGGTATATTCCGGTAGATTGCTTGCCTTTAACATCGCCGGCCGAGTGGGGAAGGGGGTGACGTACTCCCTTATAGTTTATTTTTCGCGATAACTCCGAACTCGCCGGCGATAGAAAGCTGAAACTTGGCATAGCTGACCTTTGAACCAAGTCACATTTTGAGACACCAACTACATTTTCAGGTCAGGTCATGTCACTGACCTATAACGTCATAAGTGAACTTCGATCCTAGTCAGATGTTGCAATTTTGCAACGCCCTCAGTACCAGAGGATCTTATACAAGAGATAAAACTTACAGGATACAGTATCCCCTAGAAGTCCCAAACTTGTAGGTATATCTCGATTTTTTCCCCTGAAGGTCACATGAGGTGAGGTCGGTCACGTAACCTCCCTATAAGGGGGACTTGGGGTAATCCCGCTACTTGGGAAACCCCACCATACCCCATATTGGTGAGATTATGAGTTTAAACAATGCAATTAGCGTGATTTTTAGTCACCGTACTACGCACGACTCGGGAGGCGGAAGGGATGCGACACTTGCGGATACATACAAAATAATGATTTTACAGAAGTTATCGGGTAAAACCGTCATGCTAAGACGGGTACTCATCTGCCTTGCTTGAAAGTAGGATTAATAACTGTCTTTGAGGAAAAAAAAACAAATATTCCACCAGCTAGCTGCACAATTTAGTACGATTATTTGTGAAATTGTACATAATGAAGCAAGAGCATTCAATGGCGGGCTTACCGCCACCCTTTTATGACTAGTAAAAATGCAAGATATTCTTTTTTTAGAACAAATTCAAATTATATTTTGGAATGACGGAACCATTCATCAACTTTTGCATTGTTGACTTTGCAGACAACATTACCTCCTTTGACCAGGTTCGTGACCTGGGGTACACTAAGATGACTTTGAACCGAGGTCAACATCTGAGCTTGACCTCTGCACCCAAACAGAAAATAAACCATTTGACCTGTCTAAGAAAGACGAACACGATTATGGTAGTATCGCAGCTCTTTTTTGCGAAGTTATTTATGAGTAACTAGTAAGTGATCTCGCGCCTTTGGTCACTTGTCCTGATCTCACAGGTTAGCAGTTGACCTGAGACCTTAAAATGGGGTGCCAGTCAGTACTCTTGGTAGCGGTGGACATGCTCGTTTTTCTGCGACAATCTAGCTCCGTCAGGTGCGAAATAGCGAGGGGGTCGCAGCCGGCTCCCTCCCCCCCCCCCCGATCGGCTGGGGCCTATGTAGAAACCAATAGGTCCAGCGAGGCTTTTAATGGCAAGTGAATCATTAAGCAACTGAATACATCATATTTAATTAGTCACCTCGTCAGAAAACAGTAAATGTCACTCGCTGGTGAATCGCCCGTGAACACATTGTGCTTATATTTTTAAGGGATGATATGACATGGAATTTAATTTGCCTATCTTGTGTATGCCATCTGCTAGGCTTATGTCTCGGAGAGTGGCACAACATCAGACCAAAAGAAGTTATAAGGGAGTGATTGCTGACAGTATGGATTTCTTTCAGGTGCTCTGCAGCTGCCAAATTTCCGAGCAGAAAAAGTGGGACATCGAAGACCAAATTCACCGAATCGTCAGCTGCCAAGAAAAAAGCAGTCTCGAGTTTCTCAGGGACGCCAGGACCATGATGCTGCCCAAAGGGATGGTGCTGTGCGACATAGCTGCTCCCGTGGCTCCTTCGGTCCTATCTGGCTACACTCCAAGTTCAGCCCCCACTGACCCCACTCCAGTCCCCACTGGCCCCACTTCAGCCCCCACTGACCCCACTCCAGCCCCCTCTGACCCCAGTCCAGCCCCCATTGGCCCCACTCCAGCCCCCACTGACCCCACTCCAGCCCCCTCCGACTTCAGCTCCACTACAGCCCCCACTGATCCCACTCAAGCCCCCACTGACCCCAATCAAGCCCCTTCTATCCGACCCATCCCTGACCACAGACCACCACTGTATGACCCCACTCCACCCGCAGCCAAAACCCGTCCCGCCTGGGTCAAATTTCCACATCCGCCGGCACTGCGACAAGCGGCAGCTAGCGGTACCGTGCGCACCAGCTGTCTCAGAGCCGTGTACAATGTGCCAATACCAGTGTCACCGTTGGTGGAAGATCACGGCCTTCCTTTTAGCCGCATGGCAGCTGTGCCGCTGCAGGCGAGACTCTCGGCGCTGCTGGGAGCTCCGACCCAGCCGCTGGTGCTGCTTGGCGTCCATAGGGGCGAGGATCACCAGATGCTGGCCAGCTGCACGTGGCGCGCGCCACTGCTGGAGCGCGTTCTGCTGGAAGGCGAGCAGAGCCGACTGCGAGCGGCGCTCAGCACGCTACAGCTGCGGCCGAACACGCTGGACGCGCTGCCAGAGCTGCTGCGGCTGCCGGCCGCCGCGCTGGTCGAGTGGCGGCGAGTCACGACCCCCCGCAGCGGGCGAGGTCAGGTGCGCGCCGTGCTGCTGACCCTGCTGGCGATGACGCCGGCCGGCACGCCGCCCTCGGCGCTCGGCCTGAGCGCTTCAGCGGCCGCCGAGTGGCGAGCCCGAGCCTGGCCATGGCGCTTTGCACAGCCTTCGCAAGGCCGGATCGACTGGAATGCGATGCACCTTCAGAACGAGCTGCAGGACGTGTACCAGACGGTCCTGAGCGTGAACGAGGTGCTGGACCAGCCCCTGCAGCAGCTGGATGTGATCGATACGATCCACGTGCCGATGACGATGCTATTCGGCTTTGCCAGCTACGGTAAGTGATTCTTTGACCTATTGTTTCTATCTATTGTTCTCTGCTTTATGTAACGACTCTCTGCCTCGTGTAATTGTGCCATTTGCCATTTTTGCCTGTGCTTACGCTCTTTTTTATTGCGTTTATGATCACTTTATCCTGTTTCTGTTACTGGCAGCTGAGACGCGCATGTGCCCCTTATTGACCAGCGCATGTGTGTTGTAACGGGTTTTGTATCATTCGAAGCCGCAAGTATACCCCAGAGCCATTGCGTTTGAATCACAATCGCAGCAGTGAAATAATGCCATTTCCTCCGCAGGCTACGACCCCGAGCCTGGAGAAGAGGTGATGAGCCTGGTCGACGCGGTGGCAGACACTGTCGAGGAGGAGGTCCGCTGGTGGCTGGACAACAGACGACAGGACAGCGGCAGCGCAGGTGGCGTATCACCCCATCGGGCCATGGGGAGACGAGATCGTGTCACGTCCTGCGGGGGTACCGTTGGTTGATTTACAATTCAGCTTTTGAGCTGAGTGTAGATGTGGGGTCAGGGTTCATTGTGAATACGGTAAGAAGTGGAGAATTTGACATCCACGGCTTGTTTTCTAATAGTTGTCATTGTCATAATGTTTTCTCGAGGAGTTCATCGCCCTTAAAATCACAAATACCTTGAACAAACTAGCTGCCGTTTCCAGCATAGAAACCTGTACACCAGATTCTCAAACCAAAGTACTAGGATCCCAGAGCATGTGTCATGGTTTTGGACTAGGAGTAGTTTGAATGTCCCGTAGCTCAGTTGGTTAGAGCGTTGGACTCCGCGTGGTGAGAGCACGCGTTCCCGGTTATGACAGTCCGGGTTCGGAGCGCGACGGGCGCTCGACATTTATGGGCCTCCTGACAGGTATGGTTGCGGTTGGTGGCAGGCCGTAGCCAGGCGAAGTCAGCGAGGGGACCGGCCGTGCGCGGCTTTGTGCGCACGTTAAACTTTGGACTCTAAATTCTGCCATAGAACTGGAATTGCGCGATCGGAGGGTAGAGGGCAGGGTCATCGCAACAAGCTTTGCTTAGCGGTGGCTCTGTCCTTGTGAATCCTTCCCATCAAAAGGTTCGGACTAAATTTATTTTAAAAAAATGTCAATTCACTTGAGCTGAACTTTTCCAGTGCTCCCAAGTTGTCCTTCCACAACTTCTTACGTCTGCGCCTCTTTCGCAGGTGTTCCTGCTTGGACGCCCCCACACAGTCGCCAAGGTCCCTCCAGCTCGGAGCACCCGGATCTGGGGGCAGTCAGAGAGCTCACCGGCCTCATCAACAAGCTGACCGGCGAGAACGCGCCGCGCCTGCTGGAGAAGATGCGCCACGTCTCGGTACAAACCGAGTACGGACTGTACGCACTCGTCGATGTTGTCTTCCGAGCTGTGCTGAAGACGCCGCGACTGATCGACATTTGCGCTGACGCATGCGCAGTGCTTGACAAACTCCAGGTACGTTGTGGCATCCTTGGCTATTGACATGTAGACCGGTTTTCTTTTTCTTGAAAGATTTCTCTAGAGTCCGATCGACTGTTCGCCCCCTGATTTTGCATCGGTTGACACCAACTCTCGCTCTAACTGCCCGTCAGGTAAAGTCAGATCGCAGAGACGGCACGGCCGTCAGCTTCGGCGACTTCATGCTGACCCGGCTGTCGCGTGGCCTCGCGCCCGTCAACCGGAACACACTCTCGCGGGAAGACCTGCTGCATCACCTGGAGACGGTGGACGACCCCGCGGAGCGCCTACGCCAGCTGCGGGAGCTGACAGACTGCTGGCGACAGGCCGAGAGGCGGCGCTGCGTCTGCCTGCTGCTGCTGGCAGCGCTCATCCGCCGAAACTTGGTACAAGTCCGGGATGCACAGATCTGCTTTAGCGAGCTGGAGTTAGAGCTGAGGCCGAAAGGTAAAAAACTTCGCAGTGTGAAGCTGTTCGATGACGACAACGGCCCGGAGATGGACGCTGTGGAAGAAGCTGCCGAGGAGATAATCGATCTCATCTCACCTCCCGAAAAGTGTGATATGCCGCTCACCTACTGCCTCCAAAGGGCCTACGACCGATTCGCTATGAATGACTCAATAGAGGCTTTTCTGAAGTTGGTGGTTGGTGGTGGCGAGCTTGAGGCGAATGATGAAGCACGAAAGACGTCTCTCGGAAGTACGAAGGAGGATAGTGCACCTGCGGAAGGAGATGACCTGAGTCACGAGGCTGAGGGGCAAACCGTGAGGCCGTTCAAGGGGTAGTGCTATCCGTGATAACGGCAGTGTGAACACACAGAAGTGCCTAAAATATGCATCACTGAGGAAGTGAACACTTAGACGATAACGCTTCCCTACAGGCGAGAGAACTTAGTACGCAGCAGCTCCCGAGGCATTTGCTATGAGGGTGAAGTACTGCCTTATGTGATGCCATGTGGTTCTTTTAAAATGAAGCATGATATGCTGGCTTGTGAGATAAGATGTGATACGAGGCAAACTGATACTCTCTGAAGAGTAAAACAGCGAATGTTATTAAAAAGTTCGAGCCAGATGAAAGATGGAACTGTGAAAAAAATGAGAGCAGTGAATGCTGGAGGGAGAGGAGACCTTGCGCTATGCCATTGCCTAAAAGAAGTTATGATTTGTTGTGAAGGATGAGGAATCAGGAATCGTCTTCTGTCGCCTTGTTGATGCTAGGCCAGTCAGCTGAATTTGTCCTGGTTATTAACACCATTGTGTTTAATTTGCGAAATTTCATTGCGAATTATTTATAAGTGCGTAGTAGATAGTACGATGTATAAAGGAATCCCTTTTCTATTTCGCCTATGTATATGTGAAAATGCTGATAGTTGTGTCGAGGGTTATGTTCGTCTTGTTGAGAGGTACGCCTAATGATATATTTTCCACACGACGACTGCGTTTTGTTAAGGTTACATCTTTTGGCATATTCACAATAACGGTTTATTTCGTACCGAAATCGGTACATATACACAATACACATCACCACAACACTTCAACAAACACAAAGACACAGGAAGCGAATGTAAAATGCGTGTTTCCCTACATCCGGTACACAAACCGATCTGGAGCTTCAGCATTCTCCCCCGCACAATTTCATCGATCCGGGCAACCAATACATTTATGAAATTCAAAAGGCGAGATAGCGGACAACTCCAAGTCATTGAGTTCATACTGCTGACGCAGTCGCAAGTGTTGCTGCGCTGCCGGACTAGAGATGTCAATCGGATACCAACTTTTTGGTATACCGATACCAAGCCGATACCAAATTGGTATTTGGTATTTCAATCCTAATGTGCTTGGTATTTTGTTGGTATTATGAGCCCTTACTAATGTATAAGAGGCTGAGAAATTGGTACAAAGTCGGTATTTCCCTCATGTTATGAAATTGGTTCGGTATCGGTATTTTCTCCAGCGGGGCGCATGGTTAAATGTACCGGTGTATTGAAGAGAGGGCGTCACCCATCCCAGCACCAGCTGCGCTGAAAATACTTCACTTGCCTTTATCCCATTCTTCTAAACTTTATCTTTAGGTATATGTAGGTCAGAAAAAACTGGTCTTTTATATATTTGCGCGCATATCAACAACTAATTGTCATTAACATCAACCAATTCTCTCGCGTCTTAATCCCTGGTCCTTCAAAACTGATCAAAGACCACCGTAGCCCCTGCCGGCGGCACTGCGGTACACCACACCCGATCCTCGGTAACCAGACCCGAGAGCACCACCTAAACCCAGTCCGGAGCCACCACCAAAGGTCACACCGCCTCCAACTCCGTAGCCAGGACCGCCAGAGGCGCCCAGAGCAAGTGAGCCCAGCCCTGCGGTGGACCCACCATAGCCGAGGGGCGTGGTCTGCCGATGGTGTGCCACGCCCTCGTAGGTCACCCTGGCGTTGTAGCCCGAGTTGCCGTCCACCCAGTAGGTGACGATCTGCCTCCGGCCGTCGGGAAGCAGCGTCGAGTACGAGCCCTCGGTGCGGTCCCCGAGACGGTTCTCCTGTGAGTCGATGTCCACGCCCGAGTAGGCGTCCTTCACGGAGTAGCCGGTGTTGTAGTCGGGCACTGCGTAGTAGTCCAGGGAGTTTCCTGGCCCGTAGGCTCCTCCAAGACCGTGTCCGAGGGAGCCCTGGAGAGCTCCGACCTGACCTCCAAGACGTCCTCCTGCGAGCGGACGGCTGTATCCGCCGGCCGCGACGACAGCCACCAGCGCAGACAGCACGAACAGCTGGGATAAAGAATGAAAGTATCAGCAGTGGAACACTGGCTTACCGAGAAGAGATATACTTTCTTATAGTTTTTTTTTGGTTGAGAAATAATAAAGGGAAAGTTACTAATAATTAGCATTTAGTTAATATTTTACTTTATTACGGCATTGTATATCACATGCACCAATGAGTGATGTAACTTTTTACGAGGTCCACTATTCTACTCAAATGAACTGCAGTGCTGACGATTCTGTAACGTTCGGTTGCTGAGTAATTTGCACCGTTACAATATGCTCTTGTTGACTACATTACCTTCATGTTTGCAGAATGTGTGCCAGTAGAGACTGATGCCTTGCTTGGTTCACCTCTGGTCTTTATATTGCTCTGTATAAACTCTCTCACTGGGTACTGACATAGGGAAAACTGGGTCACGCACCACGCAAGCTTACGGGAAGGAGTATGGGAACCAAGATTACTTTATGGGAACTGCGAACAGAGGAAAACCATGCGAGTGGTCGGTAGAGAGGTAGCAAAACGCTAAGAGATAACGAGTTTCTTTAGCTAATTATAGCAGCGCACTAGTGTCCAGCGCAAGGTATAGTCTGATTGTAAAGCAAGTGATGATGTTGTACTTTTCACAGCCAATGAGTTTCCTGGAGTGGTAGGCTGTGCCGCATCACACGGACTGGGTTCACAGTTAAATGCTGTGACCCAACGCTCCCCATAGATACTATTAATTGCGTGATAAACGGCACAACTTAGCGCTCCAGTCAACTGATCAACTGAAATATGTAGTCAACTGTACGACAAGGGTCGCTTTGTAGGTATATTGATATCTGATCCTACACTCCTGCATGGATGTCCTGAGCGATTTGTTTTGAAGCAGATGTAAGACACGTTTGACGTTTCTTTTAACTGAATGAGTTTGACCTGAACAAATAACATCAGACGTTTTTACCTAAATCATTTGCACCTACTATCTGTATCATTTATAACTAGTTTGTTCGTTCTTTACCTTGCGGTAAAAGACGACATTTTTAATCGGGCTGCAAAGGGATTACAAGTTATGTACACCGATAAGTGATTGTATCTGCAGTGAGAACCGAAAGTGTATTGTCGTGTAGCAGCCTAACATCTCATACGAGTGAGCTACCTAAACCAATAGCCATTCATACGTTTATGCAACAAATCAATTTGTCATTTGCACACAGCATCCATTCCCAGACGAATTTCCTCTCCGGTCGATTACCATTCATATTCCCAGGCTGTGCGTGCACCCTTTTTCCTCCTGATCAGTTCCCCGGGTGCGGTTATTCAGAGCAGTATAAAGACCGGGGGTCGGGAAGGTCAGACATCAGTCCCTGCTGCTCCATTCTCTGCAAACATGAAGGTAACCAATGCATGATAGAATGAAACGCCTGAAACTATGTACTTATTTGAAGTGCATATTGCTTGATTGACTCATTCATTGACGCCTTTGTAGTTCCACGATTTACCAACAACCTTACGCATTTGAGAACCTTCTGGTGCTGTTTTGTTCTACATAGCTCAACCCTCATATTATCAAAGATATCACAAACATATTTAAATTCATTTCATTTTTCCTCCAGCTGTTCGTGCTGTCTGCGCTGGTGGCTGTTGTCTCGGCCGGTGGATACAGCCGTCCACTCGCAGGAGGACGTCTTGGAGGTCAGGTCGGAGCTCTCCAGGGCTCCCTCGGACACGGTCTCGGAGGAGCCTACGGGCCACGAAACTCCCTGGACTACTACGCAGTTCCCGACTACAACACCGGCTACTCCGTGAAGGACGCCTACTCGGGCGTGGACATCGACTCGCAGGAGAACCGTCTCGGTGATCGCACCGAGGGCTCGTACTCGACGCTGCTTCCCGACGGCCGGAGGCAGATCGTCACCTACTGGGTGGACGGCAACTCGGGCTACAACGCCAGGGTGACCTACGAGGGCGTGGCTCACCATCCGCAGACCACGCCCCTCGGCTATGGGCGGTCCGCCGCAGGGCTGGGCTCACTTGCTCTGGGCGCCTCTGGCGGTCCTGGCTACGGAGTTGGAGGCGGTGTGACCTTTGGTGGTGGCTCCGGACTGGGTTTGGGCGGTGCTCTCGGTGCGGGTTACCGAGGGTCGGGTGTGGTGTACCGCGGTGCCGCCGGCAGGGGCTACGGTGGTCTTTGATCAGTTTTGAAGGACCTGGGATTGGGACGCGGGAGAATTGGTCTATGTAAGTGACAATAAGGTGTTAATATGTGTGCAAATATAAAAAAGACGAAATCTTTTCTTATCTATAAGTTTTAGAAGAATGTTGCTTAGTAAAATTAAACATTTTTGGCTAAGCTGTGGCTGAGAAGTGGGATGGGTGACGACTGACGCCCCGTCCTTGCAATCAGCAGATACGTTTATGCAGATTTTAAAAAAGAATTTTAAGAGAGGATAAATTTCAACATTCGCCCGTATAAGGGGGGATCGAACGGACCCCCCCCCTCGGTTTTTCACGAATAACTCAGGTAAAAAGCGTTCCATCGCGACGAGACGTTCAGTACCCTCGGGTTAATCAATTTTACACCTGCCCCGGAAATTTCACGACCCTGACCCAAATGACCTTTGACCTGTGACCTACTTTTCGAGACCATGTTTGGCCGGAATCGCGATTCGGCGTATGTCGGCTCGCATTAGCCGCGCGTTTGCAATCGTTTCGTGGGTTTAAGCGTTCAAACATGGGATATGATGTTGCTCCCATGCATCAGGATGGGTGTCAATTGTCAAGGTCACCTGAAGGTCAGGTCCGGTCATTGACCTTTAATGAACTCGGCTCACTTTTTCGAATCGAACATGTTTTAAGCTATTTTTTGAAACTGAATTCGAATTTAGCAACCCTTTGAACATTTACGAAGTAGTTTTGGTGCCTTCGTAATATGTTACGAGGCTGTCGGAGGCGGTTACCACCTACTACGAATGCCCTTACTGGTTGACCTGACCTGACCTGACCCGACCTGGCCTAAATGCATGAAGACATCATCTGTGATCAAAACTAACATGATATACGTGATCAGCACCTTTGAAAAAAAACAGCAGCCACACTATACGACGTTCTAACAGGTCCCGATTTTCCCGAGTTTTGGCGGTGTGAGCGACTTAAGCGAGTGTCATTTGAGCGAACGTCATTTGAGCGAACCATTTTCAGCGAATGGCAATTCAGCGATTATCAAGTTCAGCGATTATCAAATATAGCGATAATCAATTTTAGCGAAAGCTATGTTTCAGCGACATCTATTTCATGGACTACAATTTGAGCGACTGTCAGTTCAGCGAAACACTTCATCGTCCTGTAACGGTGTATTTTTTTTTCTTTTTTACTTTTGCGAGCGTATACGTACTAATGGTTCCGGAATTTCTCATGGTTATCCGGAACTGGATGGCGGATGTCACGTTCAAAGGTCAGACATTGAGCTCCAAATTTAATGCTACATTTCTCTACATGCTACATTTGGGTCATTGACCTGACCTGGAAGGTCAATCAATGACCAAGGACCTTAAAATTGGGTATCATCGGCTTCCTCTTGTCATGGGCAACACGCTCGTTTTTTTTTCCCGCAAAGCTCTAGTTTGATCAGGGGCGAAACGGCAAGGAGCGGGTCCAACGGATCCCCCCCCCCCTTATACGTTCACGGCTGTCAAAACACCAATACGGGCGAGGGCTAATATAAGAGACCTTCAGGTGAGTAACATAACAATCACAAAAGCTATCTGGTCCCATGCGGTGGATGTCAATATATTCATTCTTTACAAAATATCAGCCCTCGTCTGGATAATGTATCACTGAGCGTACCTCAAAGCACGACGACCATTAAACTCGTCGCCGCTACCGCAAACACATTTTACTTGTTGTTATCATACAAAGGATCCCTTTACCTATATATCGTATTTTCAACACGCACTTTGATAATTCATTCGCGGGAATAACTTAACCATTTCGCAAATTAAACGCATTTGTGTCAATCGCCAGAATAGGACTCATTCGGCTAACTGGCGCAGCTTCAACAAGGCAACAGAAGATGATTCCTGATCGTTCACAACGAATCACCATCTCTCTTCATGTAATGTCTCGTCGCAACGACTAATCTCCCCAGTATCAACTATCTTTTTTCACAAGCTCCAGCTTTCATCTGTTTCTCGTACTTCTCAAGAACATTCGCTCTTTTAATGTTTAGAGGGCATCAGCTTTCAGCTTCGTATCACATCTTGTCTCACAAGCCTGCGTATCTTCGTTCATCTTTGAAGTATCACCTGGCATCACAAAAGGCAGTAACTCACATTCACAGCAAAGTCTCGCTTTCTACCGCTTGATCTACCGCACCCTGTGATCTCTCGCATGTGGCGAGAGCGTGAACTTCTGAAAGTGTTCACTTCTCAAGTCCTTGACTTCTAATGCGTTTCTTGTGTGTTCACACTGCCGTCATCCAGGGAGAACGTCACCCCTTTCACAACCTCACGGTTTCCCCCTCAACCTCGTGACTCAAGTTAGCTCTTTCCGAAGGTGCGCTTTCCTCCTTCGTGTTTCCGAGAGACGTCTTCCGGGGTTTCCCGGAGGGCTTGCCATCATCTTTAGGCTCTTCGCCAGAAGACTGGGAATCAGCATCCTCTGTTGAGTCGTCCATAGCGAATCGGTCGTAAACTTCTTGCAAGTAAGCTTTGCACTGTGTAGGCTGCTTTTTGACAGATGAGATTAAATCGATTATCTCCTCGGCAGCTTCTTTCACTTCGTCCATCTCCGGGCCGTTGTCGTCATCGAACAGCTTCACACTGCGAAGTTTTTTACCTTTCGGCCTCATCTCTAACTCCAGCTCTCTAAAGCAGATCTGTGCATCCCAGGCTGGAACCAGGTTTCGGCGGATGAGCGCTGCCAGCAGCAGCAGGCAGACGCAGCGCCGCCTCTCGGCCTGTCGCCAGCAGTCTGTCAGCTCCCGCAGCTGGCGTCGGCGCTCCGCGGGGTCTTCCACCGTCTCCAGGTGATGCAGCAGGTCTTCCCGCGAGAGTGTGTTCCGGTTGACCGGTGCGAGGCCACGCGACAGCCGGGTCAGCATGAAGTCGCCAAAGCTGACGGCCGTGCCGTCTCTGCGGTCTGACTTCACCTGGCGAGCAGTTGGAGCGAGATGTGGTGTCACGCGTTCATGCTAAAATCAAGGGGATAACAGATGGCATTTTATGACGATCGGACTCTAGGTCGATATGAGATCGGAAGATCGGAAGCATGTGTCACAGATACGTGATTCCGCAGATGATCAACACAGGCAAGGCAACTGAGATTCTGCAGCCTTGTTGCCGTAGTGCTCCTCGCCTACGACCTACCTGGAGTTTGTCAAGCACTGCGCATGCGTCAGCGAAAAAGTCGATCAGTCGCGGCATCTTCAGCACAGCTCGGAAGACAACATCGACGAGCGCGTAGAGTCCGTACTCGGTTTGTACCGAGACGTGGCGCATCTTCTTCAGCAGGTGCGGCGCGTTCTCGCCGGTCAGCTTGTTGATGAGGCCGGTGAGCTCTCTGACTGCCCCAAGATCCGGGTGCTCCGAGCTGGATGGACCTTGGCGACTGTGTGGGGGCGTCCAAGCAGGAACACCTGCGAAAGAGGCGCAGTCGTAATCGCATGAGCTTGTGGAAGAAAAGAAATTGGTGGCACCGGGCATCTTCACCTTAGGTAAATGGGCAGAAAACTACATCAAAGCCATGAGACATGCTCTGGAAGCAGTTGGTACTTCGGTTTGTGTACAACTCTGCAATTTTCCAGGGTTTAAACAGCAGCTAGTTGGAACAAGGTGCTTGTGACGCTTGCACGTGATAAATCCCTTTAGTAAACTTGATGACTTCATTAAAAACAAATCGTAAATGTCAAATTTCATAGTTCCTAGAACAATAAGCAATGTTGTCTGACTTAACAGACACACCTATAATACAGTTAAATAATAAAATTGAAGGTCAACAAACGGACTCCCTCCGGATGTGACACGATCTCGTCCCATTGGGCCCGACGGGGTGATACCCCACCTGCACTGCCGCTGTCCTGCCGTCTGTTGTCCAGCCACCAGCGGACCTCCTCCTCGACAGTGTCTGCCACCGCGTCGACCAGATTCGTCACCTCTTCTCCAGGCTCGATGATGGTGTCGCCTGCGCAGGAAATGGCAGGTAATTTCACTGGTTTTGTGAAGTGAGCACAAAACCAGTGAAACCAGTGTAATTGAACTCCAACTCACGGTATATCCGCAGAGTTAAATGACTCAAACATAATTACAAGAAGAACAGACGCTGGTCAATAAGAGGCACATGCGTGCCTCAACTGCCAGTGACAACAACAGGATATAACCCTTAAACGCAGTCAAAATAGTGTAAGCACAGATACATAGAAAGGGAGAAAGGGAAAGGGAAAGGGAGAGGCACGAGTACGGGAGGCACAAGCAAACGATACAAAGGGTCAGAGAATCACTAACCGCAGCTGGCAAAGAAGCCGAATAGCATCGTCATCGGCACGTGGATCGTATCGACCACATCCAGCTGCTGCAGGGGCTGGTCCAGCACCTCGTTCACGCTCAGCACCGTTTTGTACACGTCCTGCAGCTCGTTCTGAAGGTGCATCGCTTTCCGGTCCGTCCGACCTCTCGACGGCTGTGCAAAGCGCCATGGCCAGGCTCGGGTTCGCCACTCGGCGGCCACTGAAGCGCTCAGGCCCAGCGCTGAGGGCGGCGTGTCGGCCGGCGTCATCGCCAGCAGGGTCAGCAGCACGGCGCGCACCTGACCTCGCCCACTGCGAGGGGTCGTGACGCGGCGCCACTCGACCAGCGCGGCGGCCGGCAGCCGCAGCAGCTCTGGCAGCGCGTCCAGCGTGTTCGGCCGCAGCTGTAGCGTGCTGAGCGCCGCTCGCAGTCGGCTCTGCTCGCCTCCCAGCAGGACGCGCTCCAGCAGCGGCGCGCCCCACGTGCAGCTGGCCAGCAGCTGGTGCTTCTTGCCCCTGTGGACGGCACCAAGCAGCACCAGCGGCTGGGTCGGAGCTCCCAGCAGCGCCGAGAGTCTCGCCTGCAGCGGCACAGCTGCCATGCGGCTGAACGGAAGACCGTGATCTTCCACCATGGGGGACAATGTTATGGGCACATTGTACAGGACTCGGAGACAGCGCTTCTGTACGCAACCGCTAGCTGCCGCTTGTCGCAGTGCCGGTGGATGTGGGAACTTGACCCAAGCGGGAACGGTTTTAGCTGCGGGTGGAGTGGGGTCATACAGTGGTAACCTGCGGTCAGGGATGGGTGGGTCAGAAGGGGCTTGATTGGGGCCAGAGGGGGCTGGAGTGGGGTCAGTGGGGGCTGGAGTGGGGCCAGTGGGGGCTGGAGTGGGGTCAGTGGGGTCAGTGGGGGCTGAAGTGGGGTCAGTGGGGGCTGGAGTGGGGCCAGTGGGGTGTGGAGTTGGACTAGAGGAAGCTGGAGTGGGGTCAGAGAGCTCTGAAGTGCGGCCAGAGGAGATTGAGGGAGCCACAGCAGCAGCAATGTCGCACAGCACCATCCCATTGGACAGCGTCATAGTCCTGGCGTCCCGGAGAAACTCGAGACTGCTCTTCTCCGGGCAGCTCACGATTCGGTGAACTTCGTCTTTGATGTTGCACTTATCCTGTTCGGATATTTGGCATCCGCAGAGCACCTGAAAGCGAGTCATGCTATCAGAAACAGTTCCATTATAACTTCTTTTGGCCTGATTATCTGCCACTCCCCTACATAGATAGTAGATATATATGTTTTCAAATATAACCTTATGTTCAATGATTGCGAAATGCAAAAGGTTCCAAAGTTAATTACAAAATGAATATATTTCGGACACTGTCCTTCTTCAGTTCAGAATTGCAACTTAAATCATTTAGTCACAACAGCGCCAGAATATGTCGATAACAGCTAAGTTAGGAAGTCTCACATTGGTAAATACTCGCGCAAAATAGACAACCATCTTACAGTTGAAATGTTCACAAGGTACCCTTTCATATAAATATAATACATGTGTCCACAATTTACACATTAATTCATCCCTATCATCTATCAACCAGTAAAACGCCTTTTGGGCGAAGAACGAGCGAGCGAGATAGTGAGCCCTGCACGTGCAGAAGGGCGAGAGGGTACTTCCAACGGGCCTGCGCAAAGCACCCTTCTAACCGGTAGCTAGCGGTGTACCAAATTTGAACGCAATCGGCCCAGCCGTTCCTGAGATCTGGAAGCGGCATTCTGCACGTGCGCACGTGCAAACGGGGTCCAAACTGACTTTTGCACGGCACCCTACTAACTGGTCCCCAACCTTGTACCAAATTTGAGCGCAATCGGCCCAGCCGTTCTCGAGATCTGGAAGCGCCCCCTGCACGTGCGCACGTGCAGTAGCACCTTAACCGTAACACATGGGAATGCATTGCCTGGTGGGTGCCTACCTGTATGCCAAGTTTCAGCGAAATCGCCCCAGTAATTACCGAGTTATTAAAATGGGAACAAATTTGACACCTCTTATTGTTGTATTTTGCACGTGCAATGGGGGTGACCGACATGCATCGAGAGTATCCTATTTTTGGTAGAAGGGATGCTGCTACCCTATAAAAATTACCGCAAGTCAATCGCCCAAGCGGTTGCTGAGATATGAGCCTCTCAAAATCACTACTTTTGCAAAACAGCTTGAACACCCTTGACTTTTCACGTAGCACGTGCCACGACGGTCACTGAGATGTATCAAAAGTAGTCAATTACGGGGTAGAAGGGATGGGGCTACCCAGCAAAAAAGACCGCAGGTCAATTGGTCCAGCGGTTGCTGAGATATAAGCCTCTCAAAAGCGTTACAGGCCGGGCTGGGCCGGGCCGCTCATACTGAGATTTTTCCGTTATATTGAAAAGACTCGCTTCGCTCGCTGCTCGCTCGTAATCACTAGACCACAAGCATCTAGTCGTCTATTCGACCATCGAGCCATGCAATCAGTCAAACATCCAACCATCCATGTACTCACACATCACTCAGCTATAGATAATTTGACAATCAAGTCATCAAAGGCCACCATCTTACATCAAAGAGTTTAAGTACTTTACCATTAAACCATTCATTCAAACCTCGAAACAATACTCAATCGTTCAATCATTCATGTTCATCCATACATTCATACATTCATTCATTCATTCATTCATTCATTCATTCAATCATTCATTCATACAATCATCCAATTATTCAGTCCTTCATTCATTCATTCATTTTCTCACACACCATTCTTCAATATGGTTGAATATAAAAGCCACTTGTCATCAATACACACATGATCAGTGAATCAGTGGCAAAGGCATCAGAACAGAAGACGTTACAATAGCGAAGTTGTAAATGCTAGAGCACTACAGGACAGGATCAGTTCCTCAGTTCTTTCCCTTGGTCTATGACTCGTTACCCTTTAAATGATGGCCCAGGCCGCTATGTTGCTGTTTAGAGCTGGGCGAATCTGTTTGATCCAAAGAGACTCCGCTATTTTCCTGCCTCTACTTTCATCGCATGCCTGCAGAATCTTTGCCCTTACATTATGGGGTCCCGGCCGACACTGGGGATGCTGTGTTCGGAAATGCTCGCCCCACGGGGAGTCATTCCGCTTGTTTTTAGCATCTCGCAAATGTTCGTTGTAGCGGAGGCGCACCGAACGTCCCGTCTCACCAACATAACTCTGGTTACACAGTTCACACGTGAGCTGGTACACCACACCTGAGCTGTGGCATCTTCCTTTCAGTCCGGTGGCGCACGAGTGGCATCGAGAGCCACCGGGACAGGGTGGAGGCTGGAGGGCTGACCTGACCAGATCAGGATATCTTTTCCAAGCGGGTTTCTGAAAAACCGAGCGACGTTCCGCGTATCGCTACGTGGCCCAGGAGCTGAGTTAGAAGGGGGGTGTTCAAACACACCCCCCCCCCCCAGCAGCCGCGTGGAAATCCAGGACCCCCAGCCGGGCGCGGGTTAAGACTTGCCGTGAAAGGTAAGCAATGCCGGAAGAACAAACCTCTTCCAGGGCAGCTTCCATCGACTCCTGGTCGGAGAGCCACCGCATCAGCAGGTCCAGTCGTCGTAGTTCCTCCCCCTCCACTGAATGGTACTGCTCTTCAAGTTTCGCAAAGAATGCGTCGAACAGGGCTGGCAGAAGCGAAACGGTACCCGGGATTGTCGAGACGAGGGGCAGCATCTTGGCAGAGATGCCGAACTCCTCCAGGAACCTGTCCAATCAAACAGATCAATTTTGTGTCATATTTTCAGTGATGTGTTCAATAGGTTTTGCCAAGTGTTCCTACCGTTGAAGAGTTGCATTGCAACCCAACAAAGTAACCGTTATTATGTCTGTCTTTTTTTCAGAAAGGCGGAACTTCAAACAAGTAAAAAAGGTCCTAATTCATTAAAACGAAAGCAAATAGATTTAATGCTCTTTGTTAAGGCAATCGGAGGTAAGGCCAGTCATGAGCGCATCGCTGCCTCGATTGTGATATTTCATTTACGGGAGCTAAGCTCACGTTTAACCCTCGCCCGCACATGGGGGGGGGGGTTGCCACCCCCCCAGGTAGTCTTTCTGCTCTGCACTCAACATTTTTAGAGCTAGAGCTGATTTTTCGTATAGCTGCTCCTCTATCCTTTCCTAATGTCCACTGAAAATTTCAAGTTTCTGTGGTTTTTGGTTTCGGAGATATGACCTTGTTTTTCAGGTCATGTCATGACCCAAATGGCCAATTTTCAACATCTTGCGTTGGCTATGGGCCTTGTGAGCTTTTGACACCTTGATTTCGGCCTTTTTTGCCAGTCTTACCTCCCACCTATCATGGAACATGTTGTTCGACGATGTACAGATGTCAAGGTCAAGGTCAAGGTCAACCTAGGTCATCTAAGATAATTGCGTTTTAGGCAAGCGGAATTTACTTTTTGTGAAGTTTTTTGACTGCATTTTTGGTAAAAGCTTCTCAGATCATTATTTCATGTAATACATGGACACATAAACAGTCGGTGCACACATCAGTATACACACAGACACACACAGACATACAAACACATATAATTGACCTTGACCTAACTTGACCTGAAATGACCTCAGCAGCAAAAAACTGGTCGGGTAGTGTGACAAAGAGGTTCTAGCTGGCTTGGCACCAGAAAACGGCATCGTCATCGGTATATGATAAGCAGCGCACTTGATATCCAACGGTGACCAAAAACAGCAACATTTTTTAGTTTGACCTGACCTGGAAGGTCAATGACTGACCTGAGAAGGTAAAACTGGGTATCATCGGATTTGTCTCTTCCCAAAGAATCTTTTTGGTCTTTACCGCTAAGCTCTATCTCCAACAGGAACGAAATGGCGCGGGTGGCGGCAACCACCCCCCCCCCCCCATGTGCGTTCTAGGATGGGAAAATGGCATGTGCGGGCGAGGGTTAAGCTATGCTACGTTTAGGACTATTTAGGATTATTTATGTTTAGCCGTCTCAGTCATCACCTTTCCGGATGGAACACCTCACAGGGCATGTAGAACCCCGTCTGTCCAGGCGGCGGGCGACGAAGCTGCAGCGTGGCCCTTTTCCGGGGGCGGGGTACCTTGACGGCGACTACGTTCAGGGTCAGGTACTTGTTCTGATTTCCCATAATGGGACAGTCCAGTTTTCGGGCCAGCGCAGCAAACTCGGCAGTGGCATCATTCAAACAGACGATGTGCGGTATCTCCAGGCGCCGAAGAACCTGTGGAAGTAGGGGAGACCCGGGAGGTATGGGCCGGTTTTGTGAAAAGGCAATTGTCTTCCAGTGCGCAGTGGCTAGACCTGGTTTTTCACTCTGTGTACGTGAAATTGCCTTTCGCCTGTAAAGTGTGCCTGATATTAGGCATCTGGGATAAACTATTTTGTTTCGAGATAGCTTTTAACAAATCATGCGCTTTTTCGATCAATCAAAATACACCGGGAGGCATGGGCCATGGCCCGGGAGGTATGGGCCGGTGCCATGTTTCATATTCTTTTCTCAACATTGAGAACAATACTCGTAGCTGGGCTCTACCTTGAGCTCTCTTAGAGCTCAGGTACCGCATAAGCGGCCAACAGCTCAGCGGCCAACAGCCAACAGTTCATACTGAAATGTACAGTACCATTTGATGAGCGGTTTCGTAGTAGTTACATTGCCAGAAAGCGATCAAATGCACCATACCATGTATTTGTGAACACTTACAAGCGATGTTTTCCCCTAAGATCATACGCGCGTCCAGGTGCTGAATATTGGGGAATAATTAGTAATTACATCTGTATCCGCCTATGATTTTTGAAAATGCATATTTTTAGGATCCATGTGAATTCCTGGTTCATTCTCTATCGATCGGCAAAAGTTGCGTTAAGATTGGTTCAGAAACCTGGCCGTGATAAACAGTCTAAAATGTATTTGCAATTTGCCCGTTTTTACCCCCCTCTACCCCCCTATTGACATTTTTTAATTTTTATTTTTTTAGAAATGTAGATCACGTTGAGCGAAATCGAATGCCGTTTGAATTTTGAAAATCGGCCCGTTAGATCTCGAGATATCAGAGGGGGGGTCGTAAACAGCCCCCCCCCCCCCAGCCAGCAATTCGCTTGGGCTGAACTGTGGCAAGCGTCGGGCAGCTTGGGCTTAGCTTGGGTTTGCCCACTTTGATGAAAACCAATGTATTTTTTACTAGGGCTGAGCTGGGGCATGCCGCAGCTATGCCCACGTGCGGATAGCAGTAGCTCAGCCCGACATCTGCCCGCGCATCCAAAACAGGCTTAACTTGGGCGGAGCGCGGGCTGATCAAGCTGGCTGTGTCCTTCGGCTAACTGGAGTAAAGCCGGAGCTTAGCCATACTTGTTCGGCTGTTCGCGCATGCGCAGTTCTGCGCCAATCATGTGCAGCGTTTGTGACAGTCTGTGCGCTGTGCGACGAAACGACACACCGGTGTTGGGGCATTTGGTGGTTGATGTTTGGGCGCGTGTGACAGCGCGAAGAAGGGATAGTGCTCACTAGTCACTGCTCTTATCAAGTGGACTGGCATGGAGTTTTACGGTAGGTAAGTGTATTGATTAGTGCGATTGATCGTATGTAAACGTCATGATTTTGACTGGGTTTCACGCCATCAAACATGAAGCTGAATAGCTGTTCAGCCTAGCGACTTATACCCTCGCTCAGAAAAGCTGCATTCCGTGCCTTTATATCTTTGTGAAATACCAGCACTTCTGACCCAGGAAAATGAAATACAAAACACAAATATTTGTCTACTTATCACCGAGCACGCTCATTCTCTGTCCGCATTTAAAATCAAATGAACATTTTATACGGATCAATGAGAAGTGTTTTTACAGTATTAATGCATCAATAAGTTATTTTTCAAGCAAACATGCAATGTAAATTAAACCAATTAATTTCTTTTTCAGGTACGTACCATTAGAGCAAATGGTTCCAAAAAATGGAAAAGTTATACAAACCAGGACCGGGTGGACCCGCAGTCGCCCTCGCCAAGTGGTTTAGCGGAAACTGCCTGCTTATAATTAAGTAGGTATACCTACATATACGGAAACTGCGCCGAAAGCTGGCCGACCACCTACTGCAGATGTGTGTGTGTGGAGGAGCCAGACGCCTCCAAAGCTCCCATTCACCAGAGTGAAGTTCCTTATAAACGATTGTTTGCTTATTGCTTTATGTCTTATGAGCGATTACTTGCTGTCCTTACTTTATGCTTTCAGTTGAGTGTTTAACCAAGTATTATGAACGGGGAGGGAGGCTAGCGGGCCTTGTGATTGTTTTATGGTTTTGATGGCGTTTTTCATGACTCATGCCATATTACTGCTGCAGTTTGCAGTCCACTGTTTCATGTATTTGTGTTTCATTTGACGTGTCTGTAGTCGTTTGAAATATACATTCAATTAAAGTCAACCACTACTTTCCTTTTGCAATGCACGAGCCTCGATGTCCGGTTAACAGAGCATATGAGTGACCGTAACAATTTTAAATATGCATTGAAACCGCACAACCTGCTGAAAGTGCATTGGCTGCTCCTTGCTACTTGATCCAGTGTGAAGCAAAAGCAAGATGAAGTCAAGTCGAGGCTTGAGAAAACAGGAGCCATCACTCGAGCCGAACCCGAGCAAAGCCACAGCAGTTTGCAATGTATAAACCCCATTCACTTCTATGGCTTAAGTCGGGATAGACAGGGCACACAGAGTGGGCTTGCCGGAGTTCAGCCCGCTCGGGCCCAGAGTAATCTCCATTATATAAATGGATTCACTGCTCGGGCTTAAATCGGGCTAACGCCAATCGTCGCTCAACTAGGGCTAAACTACGGCTGTCCGGAGCTCGCAGAGCGGGCATACCTCCGGTAGAGCATGGGCTTTAGTCGGCGTATTTGTGTCATACGCCGACTTTAGCCCAAGCCCTAGCCGACTTTAGCCCGACTAAAAATCTCGGGCAATCCGCACTTGAGCCTGCTTGGGCCCGGAGCAAAATTGCTGGCTGGGCCCCTGCCACTAATAGGGGTAGCCAGGAGCCTGCCACTAATAGGGTTAATAGACAAATTATTAGATGAATGTGATGAATGTATGATGGGTGTTGAGGCAAGCATGGATGAAATTCGAACAAAATTTGCCATCAAGACAAAGGCTGAAAATGGTCTTTTCACGTCAGTTCCGTGAAAAATACGTTAACGCTTGGCGTTAGAGGTGCAGCCGGCCCCCCGTTTCCTGGAGGTGCCCGGCATATGAGGGAGCCGGCCACAGAGGGTGCGGGCGCCAATTGGAGGCTAGATAAGAGCCAGCGGTCGGGTAAGCAAACACAGCCTCACGTCAGTCCAACAACTCCACTTACACTGTCGATTGTCGAACACGCCTCAACACTGTCCCACCGCTGCTGTCATGCCTCTCCGGACAACCCGTGCCGTGCCCGACACGGGCGTCTTACCTGTTGCCTATACTACTGTCATGTCCTGCCGACAGCCCTCAGCCCTGAGCCCAGTGCAGCGGTATACGCACGCCGCGGCTAACAGCCGCACCGTAAGGTTTCGCAATTACCGTACGACCGTCACGTATGTACTGACACCATGCCCCGCGCTGTCACTGACCGGCTCACCGCACACAGTCCTATAGCGACAGCCGCCATGCCGCCGCTAGAAAACGCACTGACTCACGCCGCCTTGCCATCTAACACATCAGTCGTGCCGCCGCTGACCGCACCGCCCCGCCCGTTCGCCATGTCGTTCCCACCGCCGCGCCGCGCGCTTGTTTGCTAGGCGCCCACTCTCCTCCCTGCCCGCACTCGTATGGGCGACGCCGTTATCCGCCGGCCTCCCACCCGCTCTTGGCAGCCCTCGCGGCTCAGTGGTTTGCCCGGGCGGCATGTGTGCCGTGTGTCTCTGGGATCCCAGCGACCAGGCTCAGTCCCAGAGAGCTATGGAAGTTTGTACAGCGATACCGGGCGCGAAATTCAACGCTGCGCCCCTGCTACGCCCCGTTTCCACTCACTTTCTACCCAGCGTGGCCGGTTGGTGACGCATTAAACGTTTGCTAATGCTATCCCGTGACCTCACAGCGGCCGTCACCGAGCTCGTTTATTCCACCCCAAAAGTCCCGGGGTACTTATGATCCCCCGTGCCCGCATGGCATACCTCATGCCGCCCCTTGCCGGCATCGTGCCCATATATTTGGGCAAACTTTGGCGTCTTTCAGCTAGGGAGAGCTGGAACACACGCAATAGGAGCTGGCGGAGGTCGAGGCCGCACTACGCCAAATCCTCCCGGATACCGAGGTAAGCCCTCAGTTTAGGCTCATCAGTGATGAGCTTTGTCTCCTTCTGATGAGTCATCACCCCACGCAGGCGCCGGCGACGCCAACGTTAATGGTCTTTTCACGTCAGTTCCGTGCAAAATACGTTAACGCTTGGCGTTAGAGGTGCAACCGGCCCCCCGTTTCCTGGAGGTGCCCGGCATATAAGGGAGCCGGCCACAGAGGGTGCGGGCGCCAATTGGAGGCTAGATAAGCGCCAGCGGTCGGGTAAGCAAACACAGCCCGCCCGGCCTGGCGAGGACACTGCGCCGGCCGCCGGGCGCCTCCAGTGCGTGAGTGGCACGTCAGACGGCGGCCGCTCATGTTTTTCGTTTTTTTTTCTTTCTTATTTTTCCTTTGTCTCCTTCTGTCAACTCCGGCGTCTTTCAGCTAGGGAGAGCTGGAACACACGCAATAGGAGCTGGCGGAGGTCGAGGCCGCACTACGCGAAATCCTCCCGGATACCGAGGTAAGAGACGGGTAGGTCCAGCCCCTCAGTTCAAGCTCATCACCCCACGCAGGCGCCGGCGACGCCAACGTTAACGTTAAAATTTCAGAAATTCACGTTAAACCTTTAAGGCCTGGCTACACATGCGTTTTCTGCGTGCGTTTTTTTGCGAGTTTGCGTGATTTGCGGAATATCGTTCTAGAAAGAAACGACATTACGTTTTTGTTAAATGTTTTTCATATAAACTTTTAATTAACATAAACGTTTTATTAACTTTTATATAATTATTAAAGAAGGTTAATTAATAATAACCTTTTTTCTAGAACGATATTTTGCAAAACACGCAAACTCGCAAAAAACGCACGCAGAAAACGCATAGTGTAGCTAGGCCTAGATGCACCGCGTTTCTCGGGAAATATCAGACAATATACAAGTTTCAAGCAGGATTATCTTCGACTAATAACCAAACAGTTCGGTAAGGA